GAGAGAAGCCGTTTCAGTCAAAACATTTAGAAAAAAACTTGACAACAAAAATTGATATTCCACCACCATACTTTTCTTTTGGCAAACGATACACAAATATTATTCATACCAAGTTAAGACATTACTGTATACTAAACCATGATCTATATAAACGAAATATTGTAAGTAGTCCATTATGTTTATGTGGAAAAAATGAAGATGTGTATCATTTCTTTTTTGCATGCACAAATTATTCCAATGCTAGAAGTACTCTTTTTAATCATTTGTTCATGCTTGATTTGGTTTCTATTGATATTAATGTATTATTATGTGGTGATGTTAATTTGCCTTTACAGATAAATAACAGTATTTTTGCTGCTGTTCATAAATTTATTGACGAAACATGTAGATTCTCCAAATGATGTATTACATTATATTGTATCTATTTATTTATGTATCGATTGTATTACTTTTTTTCTTTTTGCATGACATATTGTATTATATAAGGAGAGGAATTCACTAAGTTATTTAGAACTTGTTTCCAATCCTTTTGATTGATATCAATAAACTACGTTCAAAACAAAACAAGGGGGCTAACATTGACTTTTATCATATATAGTCCTTTTTAGTTCCGTAATTAGGTGTTCTTCAACACTTTCTGTCGCTTATAAACCTGTATGAATAATATTTTCACTAATATTTCGCACTAATATTCTTTAGAAAAAGAAGGGGTATACACCTCGGGTACAACATGTTGCATCCACCAAAAAACAATAATAATCTTCAGATACGAGCTGTTTATTTTACAATTTGTTCAAATGTTCCTAAAGATAACATGTATTTTACAGTAATATAAAAGTGATGATAAAACAAAGCTTACTTCCCTATAAAGTAGATTTATATATGCAGGTATTCATATACATTCTAATTTAATGTTTTCTTCCTTTATATTCTGGCGAAAAATATCATTCTGTAAATAGAGAAAAAAGAACAAAAATCCTTCTTCGATCCATTTAGCGTCGAAAGCCTACACCCCTTGAACAACATAGCACACACCCTCCGTTTTAAGATATAAACGGTGTACATTCAGATGAACGCTATACTGCTGCAAATCTAATCGGAAATTTTTAAGTGTGTGGCAATGGACTGTGTATGAATAATATCGAGAGGACATTTTTGAAATACTTGTTTTCTTTTTCATTATGGCGCTGCCTATCTTACATGTAATTCGAAGAAAGCAGGACAATTTTTCTTCTTTAATACAATGAATTCCATTTTGGCAAAAGAATTCGAAATGAAAAAAAGCACACACCACAATATTATTAGATTTACATATAGCATGTTTAATTATGTATTAAATTACTTATTTCTATATCTACTCTGATTTTTCTAGATTATTGTTTAAAATTTTTCAGTAATACACAACAAAATTGTCATTTTCATAAGAATTAAGAATAGAATTATAATTTGTGATATTGCAAGTATGTGTCAATCAAACCCACCCAGAAATTCGAAGTTATAATTTTTTCGAAATGAAAAATAGATATTAATTATATTTTCGTATGACATGCTTTATTCAATAAATAAGTCGTAATATTAAACAGAAAATTTGAGAAAATATAAGTTTCAAATCTGTGTCTATGCACCTTAATTTAATGCTGAATTTCTTAAGTATAATAAAACAATGATCAACACAATTCAAGAACTTTTGGTGATCCTTGTTCGAAATTAAAGACATGTACGTACCTAAATAATATATAATTTTCATCGACCACTTAAATTTGCTTGGAAAAAAACATATAATTACAGACAACACAACAAATGTAGTCCATGCATAAGGTTTGAAATAAGATTTGTATAAACAATAAACAAGTGATCTTAAACCATATAGCATTACAATTAAGTCATTCCAATATACATGTAATAGTTGAACATATTATCGTTACTTAATGGTACAAAGTATATTATATATTAATGCAAACTTCAAGTATGTTTCGTATTTTTAACATAAAAATTAATTATTATTTGTTCTTCTCACATTTCGACGATTTAGCAAGAGTCATGGCTTTGTCATTAGCGCGCATGAGTATATTGTAGAAATTTATCAACGTCAAAATATTAATATCAGACCTGCAATTAAAATCATTTCCATAATAATTTCTTGTCGGCAGGATATCTGATTCAAGCAATTTCATGAAGCTCGAGACAGCCTGAACTTTTTTCTTCCACCATAACACTGTTGAATGTAAGATTCACGTTTGTATCAAGACCACTCCATATCTTGTCAATCTTTGTCATAAGAACTAGTTGTGGAATTTCTGTTCCAAAATTTAAAACAAGAATACCATGTTGAATGTTGATAGCAAGATATAAGTAATGTAAATTTATCAATATCTAGTCTTAACAACTATTTCATAGGATGATACAATAATGATAATATATCCTTTAAAGGACCTTTACTTAAAAGATATTTTTTTTGCTTTTTTAATTATTAATATTAACACATCGATTTAAATTTTTCTAAATACCCTCACTCTCCAGAAGCTCCCTACATTCCTGAAATATTTTTTCTGCCGATTCATCTGCGAATGCTGTGCTTACTTTGGTTCCATCAACAACATAAACAACGCAATGCATTTTGTCATCGTTTGATGGAGACGGATTATAATACTCATCCCCTTCTTTTATATTTTTCGTAGGATCTACCTATAAGAATTGTAGAGTCCTTTATCTTCATATAACTTTTCGTATAATTTTTTTTAAAAGCTATTTCTCCAAGAGAATAATTTCAATTGTAAAGTCTACCGATATTTACAAAATGAATAACACATTATAGTTTAAACTTTTGGGACAGTCATCATTATAAAGAACCTGGGGGGATTAGGATTATTTATAATCCTCTGCATACAGTAAAGATAAAACCTGAATCAAATGACTTAGAAATTGATTGTAATTAACCCACCAAAATCCTAACATGCTTTAGTAACCGTAAAAATGATAGAAACTGAATGTTAAAACTGTGGGTTTTTTTTTATATAGAGTGGGTCTTCGTACCATTTTTTTTTTGTAAACAAATATTGAAAGGGTATGGAAGGATGTATCTCTCACCATTTTCAAAAAAAAAAATGGAACGAAGACCCACTCTTTATAAAAAGTTAGTTTTCCTACTTAAATTTCGGAACATATTCTCAAAAACTCCAAGTCCAATTGTGTGCTTGCTTTACATATAGAGCTGTTTTTTATTTAAAGGGTAATTTATATGCGACTTCGTGGCTAAGTGGTTATAGCGGCTGAGATGAAGCAACCAGTTATTAGTCGCCAGCCTTCGAATCATGATTTTTTAAAGTTCAAATTGAAATTTATAGATAAATATATTTTTTCACTAAAATCAAAGTGAAAAAATAAGATAATAAATTTATTTACGGTCAACTAATATATTTCCTATAATAAACAAATTTTCAAGATGTATAACATTTTGAATGCATTCAGTTCAAGACTACATTGCACAATTGAAATGTAAACAATCATGGGTAGACCAGCACGGTATGGCTGTTCCGTATGCAAAAACAGTTAATAAGAAAGGTAAAGCGTAGCATCTCCCAACCCCTGAAAACATATTCGATAGAACAATTAACATGCAGTATGAAAAGCATCACATGTTCAAAAATACTGTAACGATAACCGCAAGGTTTGAAAATAAAAATATTGTCATTTGGACAGTGCTGTACAAAGTTTAAATGTTTAGGTAAATCGTACGACTATTCCGATATACTTACAGAGCGACAAAATCCTTGTGGGCATATGACTCGCCTAATTCCCCCAGATTCTTTGAGACAAAATGGTAAAAGAGAAACTTCATTGTTTAAATTGTATATAATTATGTCAAGCAACATGTTCGTTAATACACTTAATCCTCTTAGAAATTATTGATTTGAGTACTGTTACTTTTAAATTAAGCGTTTCTTCATAAGAAATTGAGGCATTTGAATTTATGGAATTCGCTGACATGGTCATCAATCGATTTTAAATCATATCAGTCCCTTTTATATCATATCAACTGGTCGACAAAACCCCATATGCAGGTGGTAAGATGGGTTGCTACATACGAAAGGGAAGATGCGAATTAAAAAGATGAAGAAATAATGTTCAGCGAAAAAAGTTTAATGTAAAAAAAATGAACATATGTTTCGGATTCGGTATCTTTTATTTCGAATTTACAGGGATCTTATATCGAACCAATGTTACAAAGAAAATGAATATAATGAAGAAAAACAGCAATTATCAAGTTCAAAGTTCATTTACACAAATCGGATGTAGAGAAAATACGTGCCTTCAAATATTCAGAGACTGGATCTTTTAAAAGGAGGAGTAAGCATCCTCTGTTGACAGTGCATCCGCTGTGCGCAACTTGACATGGTGAGGAAATCGAAAATACGTCGACATTTAGAAGTGTAAATAATGGTATAAAAATTAGTATGTAGAACGTCAGTCAGCATTTGACACAATTATAAATTATATTTCTTGAAAATTTCATTCTAAAGACCAAAAAATATAAAATGAGGACTTTCAACGATACTCGTGTTTCACCAACGTATTTAAGTGCATGTAGAACATGCTCGTACGTTGTGTATTAAATCAACTAGGATATATTAACCTTAAATGCATTGAAATATATAGAGATAACAAAAGGATTGCACTACTGACAATGCTAGAGTAGCATCTTTATTCGTCATCTCCTACCCCCGTTTTCTCAAGACTTTTACTCATGGCAGCACTCAACCCTCCACATTAACCAAATATCAGAGAAAAGGTATTTTTTTAATCATATACAATTTTTGTTATTATAGCAATGTTCATATTGGATATATCATTATGTATGGTTATAGGACATTCTAAAAAAAAAGTGTTACCTCTCTCCGACTTCAAGCAGTAATATTTACATTTGCAAATGGTTTCCTTTATATAACACTACTGAAAGCAAGCGCTTTTACAACTGCATAAATACAGGTACGTGTACGGGGTCAAGAGGTCATAGATGTGCGTTTGGATAAACGTTCGACGTAATCTCTGTGTGACGTCATAAAGGGTCGACGCGCGTTTAGTTGATTACAAACAAGCTGTTGGGTTTGAAAAATAACGCATTTCGCACGTTAAAAGTAACAATCAGGCAAATTTAAAGTATGAATAAGTCACAAATGTAAATATAAGTAATAAGGTATCATTTTTTGAGTTTTATAGAGATGTAAAACGGGTTGGCACATGATCAAATCTTCCACAAAGCCCTTCGGGCTTTATGGGATTTGATCACGTGACCAACCCGTTTTACATCCCAATAACACTCAAAAAATGATACCTTATTTCTTAAATAAATTCTGACATAATATAATTATTTAAGAAATAAGGTATCATTTTTTGAGTTTTATTGAGATGTAAAACGGGTTGGTCACGTGATCAAATCCCATAAAGCCCGAAGGGCTTTATGGAAGATTTGATCATGTGTCAACCCGTTTTACATCTCAATAAAACTCAAAAATGATACCTTATTACTTATATTTACATTCGTGACTTATTCATACTTTATATTTGCCTGATTGTTACTTTTAACGTGTGAAATGCGTTAATTTTTCAAACCCAACGGCATGTATGTAATCTACTAAACGCGCGTCGACCCTTTATGACGTCACAGAGAAATTACGTGGAACGTTTATCCAAACGCACATCTATGACCTCTTGACCCCAAACCTGTATTTACACAGTTATAAAAACGCTTGCCTTCAGTAGTGTTATGTAAAGGAAAACATTTGCAAATGTAAATATTTGTTTTTCAGTTTTTTTCTTGCATACAAAGATTTTTATATTTATGTTGCTGATATACTGATTATATTCGATTTTCATGTTTGATAACCCTATTTCTCGCCTAATAGTGCTCCTAGGCACTGGTTTCCTAACTTTCACTATGTTTGTAATGAAACATATGTAATAAAAACAGTATTATAGCTTAAAAGTCCATTAAACATTCTAATCAGGAGCAACGAAAAGAAACCTCCAAAAATCAGAGGTAAGATCCAGTGCCTTGGAGGAGTAAACATCCCCCATACTGACCGGTCACTAAGGCCATTATGCATAAATTTTCCCATGTTTTCCTCGCACTTCCAACAAACGAGACAGTTGTTCCCTATTTTACCATTTCATTGTGAAACAAATTTGTTAATTAAGATTTTAAAATGTTATTAGATTAAAATTGTCCGAGGCCTCCCATGTCAATTTTAATAGTCCACACCAAATGACGTCAGACAAAATGATCGACGCACGCACGAGATCTGCATGCATTAATAGACTTCTTAGCCCCTACGGTTGAATTCCGGTTAAATTATCAAGAAATCAATTCATCTTTTTTTCAAAAAGTTATAACGGAGAAAAAAATTGGAAATAGAATAATATTTGTATGAGTTGGATTATCACTTGCAAAATGATATTCCAATCCATATAAAATATATACAATTACAATGTTCATAAAGATTATGTATTCTTACTGATCTTTTTTTTTTCATTTATTTCTGAAGAGAGAATGATGGATGCATTACAATTTGCCCAAACTGCTCAACTCGTATTTTGAACATCAATCTGATATTTTTGTACATTCTGACATAGTATCAATGTCTTGTTTTCATATTTGATTAATATTGTTCTGCAATATTATTCTCTTTTTGACATAATTCAAACTAATATTCATAATAGTATGAAGTCAACATAACTGAAATAAACAGGATTCCTTAAAATTTGGCTCTTTCATATATAAAAGTCCGATTATTTACTATAAATTTTCACCTGCACATTTGATATAGTGTCTAAGAAGACTATAGATGTAAAGTTATAGATTAAATGTGGTAGATGTGTCTAAATACGGAATTATTAATTGATTGTTTAACGGCCCTGTCAAGAATTTTTCACTGATATGGACGCCGCCACCGTTGGAGAACAGCAAATTTTGTCCTTCCCATACTCAACACTTAGGGCCATTAAGCAAGAAGGGACTTTTTTTTCGTGCCAGAACATACTGTGGTAAAGGAACTTGGTTTACACGATGTCATCGAAAGACTGATCTCCACGTCCCACAGTGGGAATGAACCCGCGACGTAAGGATAAACTACTACTAACTCCGCTACTTTAGAGCAGACGCTTTAACCACTTCGCCACGCGGACGAATGAATACGGAAAGAAAAACAAGAGCAGGATAAATCTTCTTATTGGGAGATATATCAAATGTTTCCTTTTAATTTGTATCCAATCCCTTTGACATATTGTCAACACAAGTTTATCTTTTAAAAAGATAGGTGAGCTAGCGCCGTAGCATTTTTTAAACACAGAAAGGAAGATCCGTGATCAAGTGATTTATTTTGCTGAATTCTTTAATTTTTATTAAGGCTGGAGAGTGATAAAGTTATTATTGTTCTGTGAAGCGTATTTTATAGACACAAAGGTTAAGAAATAGGGGGGTGACCTATTGGAGTTTTGGCGCAACGGAACATATATGACCTTTACTGGAGAGGGAGGGGTGGGGGGGCTCTATATAATATGAAGAAGATGCCGATTGAGACATTGCATGTATGAGCTGATTTAAAGAAGAGAATTTCTTGGCAATTTAGCAAAGAAAATACATGGGAGCTGAAAGAAATATAGAAAATAACTCAAATTGTATGTCGTGTACGTAAAGAGTCCAGAGAGTTTGGAACGCATGTGAAGTAGCTTAATTGGTCCTTTGGGTCATCTTTGTCAAGATATGTTAGGTTAAAAGCCATACACATCAGAATTTTTTAAACACAAATAGTGGATTTATTCGTTATTTTTAGTGTAAATTATTGCTTCTGTTTCTGGAATTTGTAAGATTGGCTGAATTGACCAATCAGAAATTAGAATTTATCTTTGATTGTGCTTAGATGTTAAAAAAAAAAAAACAACAACCTCCCTTGTCATTGTTTAGAACAATCAGATAATGATTCGGGCTTTTCCGTCAGCAAAAAAAAACCCCAGAATTTGAAATATCATAAATATGAAGTTATCTTTAAAGTGTAAGTTACAAAATAAATAAACAGATATTTCATGCTACAACACGATACAACGAAATTGTTATCGCACGGTCTATCTGTAGTAGTTTTTCACAGTTTTCCCAGAATGCACGACCATGGCGGCCGAGCATGCGTATTCAAGGAATTTGGACTAACGTAGTTGCTAGCGCTCGAGAGCGCTAGCAAAAATATGTTCAAAACAAATCTTCTTTTCATGGAGAAGTTTTGAATAAATCCCGCCTTATATGAATTAAAAAAAGGTCTACTAATAATTATAGATTCTTTTAGTACAAAAAAGAATATCAAAAAATTGTCGCAAACGTTGTTTTTAAATTTCATGAATAGCACAAATGGATCAAGCAAAGAGAAAAGTAATCTTGCAAAAGTGCACGAGATTTTTTTCACAAATAATTGTAAATAATGTTCTGGATATTAAAGTTTTGGATGTCTACCTCAAGCCTATCTGTGCTTCCACAACCGTAGTGAGATACTTAAGGTTTGTAAAGCTAATCTTGTTAATTAATCTTGTTAATTAATTAAGATATACACAGGCAACTTAGCCACATATGATTCTCATATGAGTATCATATGATTCTCATATGATTGGTTTCATATGAGAATCATAGAAAAAGGGCATCATATGTGAATCATATGAAGCAAATCATATGATTTACATATGATCCACATATGTAAATCATATGAAAATAACTACATATGATTTTCATATGAATGATTTAAGTGTGATTCAAGCCATTTACATCTGAGAATCATATGAAAAGGGCATCATATGTAAATCATATGAAACACTTGTGTGTGTTTCAAGCCATTTACATATGAGAATCATATGAAAAGGACATCATATGTAAATCATATGAAACAGTTATTTGTATTCTCTCAATAATTTTCACATTCTTGTACACATTTAAAAATCAGATATTTCTGCTTTAGATGAAAATTCATTACATTACAATGCTCTATCTTCATAAGTTAAATATTGTAAAATATCTTATAATGCTTACACAGCTTTTTTGATAAAATTATTTTCATCAAGAGAAATAACTTATTTTTCTCAGTGTACATTCTACACAAGAAAATATACAAACAAGTCAGTAGCATTTGTCGATACATGTATTTAACATATTCTAAAATGAGTATAGATTATAAGATTTCAGCAAAATGATTAAGTAGTTAAACATGTATACATGGATGAATGAATAACATAATTAGGTCAAGTACTTGTATTAAAATACCATATGACATGAAAGTGTCCACAGCAAAATTGAAATATCAGCAATAACATTTGTCATGTGTTCTCTATTGTAAATTTATGAAAAAATCAAGCTATTAGATATTCCAGTATACAAAATAAGAATGGGAAATCTTTTCAGGTCAAATTCAGACAAGATTGTGTACATCCTCCCCATTTCATAATTATTCCCTCTCTATATTTCTTTGTTCTTTTTTTCTTCTGTATCTTTCAATAATTTCAGTTGCCCTCCATCTAATAACCATCTGGAAACTCCCTTGGAACTCTACCAAAAATGCAAATCCATCAATTCTATTTTTCCTTCCGGAAAAATTTCTTTGTGGCACAGAATGGTCTATACAAAAATTTAGGAAGAAAATAAAAATAAAATAATTCTTAAATTACTTTGATATTAAAACCCTAAAAAAGCATTTTCTTTTATTTTGACAATTGAATTTTTAATGTTCAAATAGTATTATGCATGTATTAATTCAAATTGCCAAAAATTAAGAAGATTCTGACACAAATATATTACTTTTGGACAAAAGAAATTACAGACAAGTAGAGAGGCAGAAAAACAGACTTTGTGATTCCAGGATAAGAGTGCAACGATAAACCGATTGACGGTATACCACGGTTTATACTCCATGGTTCGGCTCATGATACATTAAACTGATACCACGGTTCGGTTCGATGGGTCCGTAATTATCCCAAATTCTTATTGTTTTGGTTCTCGTTTAAAATTCCAAATGGCTTCCACACAAAACATCGAGTTTCAATGAAACTACGGATAGGCTCTGAATTTATTTCAGGCCCCATATTTAACAGGTCAAAGGATATTCTAACTTATTAGTGTTAGTGTAATGAACATTTGATAAAGTTTTTGAGCTTAAAGTATATAATGACAAACATCTGACTTTTTAACCCAATATGTCACGTATCATGGTACATATCATATCATGAACTGAATAACGTTATACGTATCATATCCTGGGGTAGGCGTATCGTTGCACCCCTATTTCAGGATATCCCAAACTTTGTTGGGAAGAATATTCATAACAAAGTCTATTAAACAGTGTGTAGTTACCTTAAGTTTGAAGCAAGCCATTAGCCTTGGATCTTTGGATTTTTTTCTTATGAGAGGCTGACTATATGTGAACCTGTAAAACAAATATTCACACAGTAGATAATTTCTAAGCATAACTAAAACTTAAACTACAAAAGAGAGAGTACAAGTTTGTAGCTTCTCTATATAGTCTTAAATATCTTACAATTTACCCGAATGGATTAGCTATCTGATGTACTTTCAACACATATACATGTATTTGTACCTTGAAAGTTGCCACTGTTATTATTAATGTTTTGCTGAAATTCAAAAATTTAAGTTACCCCCTGAAGTTATTGTATAGAATCAAAGCTTTTAAAGCCAACAAATTCTATTCATACTTACCATATTTTAAAAGTGCATATTAGATTAAATTTCATAATGTAGAATAAAACTTCTGTATATT